TTTTGGACTCTTGTCTGCCAATGCTCCACCAGCTAGAATAAAGCCTTTCCTATTTTAAACACGGTGTTTGGGTGCTCTTTCTCTCCATTGGGCCTCATCTTCCTGCAACAAACCTTCCATGAACTTACAAGTGTGAGAGAAGAAAAGGAAATAAAGAAAATAAAAATTTTGGTTGGAGAAGTTCATATTAAATATGAAAATATTGAATCTCTGGATGTTTTTAGTGAAAGACAGAGAGGAATTGTCCTCCCCTGAACAAATGATTGGAAATTTTAACATATATTTGAACATATACAGTTACTTCAGTTATTGCTATAAATGTTTTTTATTTAAAATATCACTTATGCACATTTATTTGCAAAACATATTCTCTTTTCCTCATTTTGCTCACAGGAAGTGAAGCATAACAGGCACATACATTTCCATTTCCCTTATTCATGGCAGACAGAGCTAATCAATCATGGCACCCTTTGCCAACTCTGAATATTGGGGCTTCAGGAATCTATTTCCCACCAGCTGCATTCAGGTTGTTCCCTGCCTTAGACGAGAGCGTGTTTGCCATCTTTATTTACTAGCTAAGACATCTTAGGAAAGCTTTAATCCTTTCTGCTGCCCTCACATGACTGTTACACAGTCAAAAGAGTTCATGTGAACATATTCTGTAATCTATGCAGTCCTAATCACATATTGTTTCTAGGAATTTGATTAATTCCTTTGTAAAATGGATGAAACCATCTCCCTCATTGATCTCCTCCCTGGTGCTTCCCATAAGCATTTATTTGATCTATTTTAGAAACCTGGAGTTTTAAATTTTAGGTTTATGAAAAGTGTGCTCACCTGTATTCCTTTTGAATGTTCTATCTGATACTAAAGGGAAGAAAATGCTGCTGGAGGAGGCGAAAGCAGGGCTCTCACACCCGCCTCCTCATCCTACTGTTCTGGAAGTCTTTTCTGCTCGCCTGGAGGCTGTGTGATTAATAGCCCCACTTCCCAATTATACAAATATTATACTTGTCTTCCTTTGGCTGTAGATGGGAGATATCTTATGTATGTGTGATGCAAATGTGGGCTTTGTGAATGCTAATTTCAAAATTGGCCAAGAGTTGATTGACAGAAAACTGAACAACAGGGTGACAGGCTTGCCTGGGTCAGGAATCTGCAAAATAAAGGCTGAGTGAGGGTGGAGAAAAAGAGCTGAAGAGATTTGGAGTTAATCAACAGCAGTGGCCGAGGAAGCTGCAGTTTATGAAAACAGATCTAAGCCAGATATCCTAGAAGTGAGGGCAGTTTCAAAAACTGATGAAAACAGTGAGGAGAGCAAAAGTTTAGCTGATTCTATAAGAACCAGGATGGAATTAAGAAAGCAAGATGATGCTGTAAACTGCATAAACCATATTCTCTGCTTAGCACAGCGGTTCTCAACCTGTGGGTCACAACCCCTTTTAATAGTATTTAAAGGGTTGCGGCATTAGAAAGGTTGAGAACCACTGGCCTACCACATCCCTGAAATGTGGCTGTTTGCACCTGAATTTCAGCCTGGCAAAACTTGCTCTACTGTGATGGTGACATCCTCAAGGTCAGGGATGTGATCATCTTTGCTTTCTAGATGCCAGCAGGGGACAAGCACTCAGGAAGCGTTCTCTACAGAGGACCAAATGGAATACTGTCAGGGGTATGATTTCAGTAACACAAAAGGAGAGGAGCAGAGATTCAAGACACTATTTCTTCACTTAATCATGACAGCAGAAGTGATGAGAATGACTACAGGAAAATGTATTTGGAGGGCTTCCAAACATTAGGCAGAGCACATCGTTCAAGATAAGCCCCTTTTGGTTTGCCTTACAAAACTCTAGTTAAGGTCTGCTAAGTGTTCTCCACAGCAGATGTTCGTTCCCAGCCCCAGGCTAGCCACACCACGGGAGACTAAAGACAGAAAGTGTGTTGACAGTCTCCAGGTAAGTGGCTTCGGTGCATGGGCGCTTACTTACTTTTAGGTGTTCCCCATTCAACAATGCAAAAGACGCACACCCCTGGAAAGAAGAGCAGGTGGAAAGGCAGAGGTAAAGATGCCACATTCTAGGATGCTTTGCTCAAATTATTCCTTCACTCTACCGGGACAATGCAGACAGGAGAAGTGGAGGCCAGTAGCATGAAATATTGGTCACATCTGTTCTGCAGGACACTCCATCCATCTTCTTTGTACTCTAGCCACCTTGCCTTTACAGATGGTTTTTACTTGTGTAACAGTACTTTTTTCTTTGGGCAGTTTGTCAGCCTCAACATTTGCTTCTGGGTCCAAATGTGTTTTTTAGCAGATTCTTTGTGTGCCGAAATTTTATGTAGGGTTTAATAAATCTGTGGATATACTTTATACACACACCACATGCTATTCAAATAACTGTCTAAAATAGTTGTACATATATATGTACATATATATATGTATCCCTGTACATAAACTATATCTTCACATCATCCCTGAAACATAGGTAGAGTTTTCCCAAAATGTTGGGAGTATAATAAACACAGGAATTCCAAATAAGAAATATTTTGTTTCAAACTGATAGGGCTGAGCGCTGGGACCTGCCCCAAATAGAACCGAGGGCAGGGACACAGAAATGAGTACACAAGTCCCACCCAGACAGGAATGAGGGCACCAACCCCCAAGTCCCAGACCCTTAAATGCCCACTCCGCCTTAACCTTTGTGCTGACTTCCTTTTTGAATGCCGCCCACTCACACCCGAGTGAATAAAGGCCATGTCTCCCACAGAGAATCTGGACTCAGTTTACTTTTGTTCATATCTCGGAAAAACCTCTCACAACTCCCTAACTCACAGATAAATCTATTTTATCTATCCCTAAATACCAGAAATATTTCATTTTTCCCGTGTGAGAGTGAATACTTGATTTAAATATATTTTAATAAATGAAAGGGCTACTTCTAATCCATTAAATCTAACTTATTTTTATTTTAGGATAAGCAGAATGAGCAATTTTAGATTTAACACTATTCCAGAAGATTTTGTTTATTGGAAGAATTTTCTCAGGTTGGACATACTCATGGGAGATCGCTCAGTGCTTGAGCAAAGAATAGAATTCAAATGTTTTGTACAGCATTAATGATGATCTCCAAATATTTATAACCCTCCCTGCTCCCTGACCATTTTGTGATTGGGTGAGACCAGTTCTGGACAGTGAGCTGTGAACAATGAGATTCTCCTCTTAAGAATGAACATTTACGTGTCAATGTAGACCCTCTGCATCTATCTTTGCTCTCTAGCATGGAAACCCATAAGGATTCAGATGGTGGCTGCTCCACTAGCCTCATGTCCTTCATGACAGTGATTAGTGCAGCCTCCTGGGGACACACAAGAGCAAACCTTTATAGTTTTTAGTTACAGAGATTTGTAAAGTGTTTACTAACATAGTATGGGTGGCAAGTTGTAACACACACATATTTAGTCCATTAAAATCTAATAACAACATATTAGGTATGTAATCTAATACACACACTCATCTAGTTATTTTTTTAATTCCAAGAGGATGTTTTGTTCTTCTAAATTTTATGCTATTCCACCTAGAACTTTTAATCTCTTGTTATTCAAGAATTATGAGTCAATACTATCCCCAAAGAAATTAACTGAAGAAAGAAGGAGAAAACAGATTATACTTGCATAATTTGTTGTTAATTTTAAGGCCATGCAGATCAATTCCAAGCTTGTATAGAATCTAAGAAAAACATATATAGTTCTGCACATCTAGAGTCTGTAATGAATAAATTGATTCATGTGTAATAATGTTGCCCTAACTTTATACATCTCAAAATAGTACACAGTTAGCCTTAGTAAAAGTTCTTCTTGAGAAAGCAGTGTTTTTATTCATCTTTTTGTCATAGTAATATAATGTATTTTATATAACATAGGTAGATGAAGTTGGACAATTAAGTTTGTGACTTTATCCTTAATGCCGTATATTACTACTATCAAGGCAATTCTGGAACTCTTTTCTAGAATGGCCAAAAAGCTGTCATCACATGAGGTCTCACAATTAAGTTTGTGAATGGATCCTAGAAAAGTGTTTTGCGGGTGGACTAGATGCTGGTCTCTGTGTGTAGCTTCCCAAGGGGCATACTTTGAAGGTCATATTCAGCCATAAGAGATGTAGTATTTTTTTCTAGGATGAGTTCATGAACCTAGGATGATGACAGCTCTGATGGCCAGCCTAGAAAAAGAATTCCTCTATTGCTTTCCAGAGTGGACCACGTGCTGGCATCAGCGCATAGCTTCCCAGGGGGAGTACTTGGAAGGTGACTATAGTAATATTCAGCAATGAGATATGTAGCACTTTCTCTAGGACAAGTTCACAAACTCAATTGACCTTGTATGTTATACAAATATGTCACTTATAACTCTTCCTGCCTCCTGTTAGAAGAAGGGTTACTGATTGTCACAGTACTCTCAAACATGGGGAAATTCCAGAAGTCGAATCTATAGAAAACCTGAATTGTTCTGGCAAAAATTTGGGGGAGGGGAATAAAAGGTGATGGGTGGTACCTGGGGGAAATTTAGGAAGAAGGAAGAGGAGATTAAGCAAATAGAAAACAGAAATCCCAGCCAAAGAAGCACTGGGGAATGCTTCATTGAAATCTTATGAATTTGAACATTGTAGAATGTTAGTTACAAAACCCCTCTGAACTTCCAGCCAGAAGTTTTGGAAAAGTCTACCAAAAGCCACAGGGTCACTTCTTGACCTATATAGATTTCTCACGTTAAATACTGATGATGACAAAAGCCAATTACTGATTGTTGAAGAAAACCAGTGTAATCAGTATAGGGGATGGCTTGGTTTAACCTGACAAATTCCTATTAAAAGTGACATTCATGAAGAGAAAAGCAAAAAGGCAACTCTTTACCCACAGATCCCATTTGTGTGCACTGAGTTTGCACAGAAATGTGAACAAGTCCAGAAGCACTAGAAGGAGTGGTTGGCTGTCAACACTTACTGCGAGGACAATCTGGAGGGAACTATGGGCCACTTCTATGTACTGGTACTCCAGAAAACACCCTGAGACCGTGATGTAGCGATGGTCCTCTGGGGCCCAGTCTGGGGCGGGTGTCACTGATGTCACCGTACATCCTGGTCCATTCTCCATCCACCAAGATCGGTGCATTGAAATATTAAAAGTCAGGATAAGGTCTGTTTCCTGCAAGAAGGCAATTCACAAGGATGAGAATTACTTTATGAATGTTTGTCATCTCATTTGGGACTGAATCACTTTAAGTTTCTCATTTGAAAAAATTTTTTTTTTGCATTGTCTATACTGTATTTTATTGGCAGCAAAGAAGCACCAAAAGTCATTATGTATCTATGGATTCTCCTTACTAAAGTTTTCCAGACTACATTAAAATAGATACAGTTATTTTATTAGAAAAGTTACCAATGACAAGCATTAACTGTGACACAGAAGGGTCTTTATCTTTGAAGACTTGTAAATATTACAAAGAAAATTATTTAAACTATGTTATCAAGTGAAACTCATGCTATTACCAATTTGCTGTATTTTTTCTCTCCCTCAGAATATTTACTTTTTGCACATTTTCAATCTTAAAGCTGTACTTCAGTTTGGCAGCATTCAACATAATGTTATGCCCGATTCTTAAATTTATAAGACTTTGCTTAATAAAACATAGTGTTACTTGTTTTTCCTCTATTAATTTAACAAATCAGTGTCTCTTCGATCTTGTCAAATTTGTGAAATCGGTCATAGTATTTCTTAAGAAATGTCATTATCAAATTCTTGCAGGGTAGACATAATAAGTCAACAACTATTTAGACGAAGCTCGCCACGTTAGCTGTCGCACAACTACAAGTGGAATGAAGGTAAAGTTTGTACTCAGCTTGTAATCGCATATGCCAATGTGGACTTATCAGAAACTCATGAACAAATATTGTACTTGAAAAATAGAATGGCTAAAGGAAGTATGCATCAAACAGGTTCTACTATTCAGCAAGTTGTGAAGTAAGATAAGTTCAAAGGGAAAGGGTCAGCGATGGGAAACTGAACTATTTTAGTTTCAGTCATAGCTGATACTGCAGAATAACAGGTGCCAATTCCTCTCACTCTAAAGTGAGGTGCTAGGTTGACTAGGCAGACTCTGTACAGAAAATGTCTTAAATCATGTTTTGTGAACTTGAGCCACACACTGACATTGAATTGAACACATGAAAGGGCTGAGTGCAAACGGCCAGGGAATTGAGAGATGGCAAGAGCCCTGCGGAGCATAGTGCTATAATGCCATTGTCTCCATGGTGGTGGGTGGGTAGGGTACTGGGTGATTTCTCTTCTTTTCAAGCATGTTGAGAAAGGCTTCACAGTATCTCTTGGAACTTGGGAGATATAGCAACTAGTGTCTGACTCGGGTCTGATAAATCTCAAGGCAGAGCCCATGGCCAGAGATATCTGCCAAGTGACCAAACAAAAATTAGGCAGTCTTTGGAAAGCAAGTACATTGTAACATACTCATATGATGAATCTAAAGTGATGATCATTGGAAGCAGATGTGGGTCATCAGGAGAGAACTAGCAAGGGCTTTCTCTCAATACTGTCCCCAAAGCCCGCTTGGTGCAGAGATAATGGCTGAACCTGTACAGACGTATTCCTCGGGTCTGCAAGTGAGTAAGTAGGGAAGAGGCATCAATCAAATCACGGATGTACAAGTGAGATATTTAATGCAAGTCAGGAGCTCTGAAAAGCCCAGAAAAGTATCTCGAGAAGGAGTCACTTTCATCAGCCACCACGCTCTTTCCTGTCTCCTTTTCTTTTGTCTATTTTCATACTCTGAGCTTGGAAAGATCTGAAACCTCAGGTAATAACCGTGAGATAGGGAGGGGGTAGGGAAAGACGGAAGTCTAACACTGAGCATGCCACTCTTTCCTGTTAGAAGACAGAAACTTAATTCTAAATGGAAGTTTTTTTTATTATAATGTCAAATAAAGCATAGTAATTAATAAACAGAAACAATTTGGGGAACTACAGTGACTTCAGATAACTTTTTATTATCTGGATTAACTACAAAAATAGGAGGTCCGCTATGTATTTTATCCAGTGGCAGCAGAAGTGCCAGGCCCCTAAGTAGGTGTGGAAGGGCAAACATAAGAAAGGAATAATGCTATTTACGCACAGAATCTTGATTATTTAAAATATGGTGATCAAAGCAAACGGGATAAAACACGAGAGTGTATGTGGAAAAAGAAAGTTTCAATGGGAAACCAGTGAGAGACTAAGTTGTGGAGACAGCCAGAGTTAGGCAGTCTAGCAAGGACACACTCTGGTTCCCAACAGCTGGTCATATCTAAGGCATGCAGCTCAGTTAAACCCCCTTTATCGCTGGAAGTCATGACCCGCTATCAGGGTCCTCTTGAAAGGATGGTAAGGGGGATTTTTCTCTTTCTAAGAACTTGGTTACTTGCATTATTGTTCCTCAATTGTTGAAGCAAGATTTTTTTCCATATAAAACTAGTAATCCGTGAACAAGAGTTTGCCAGGATATTTGAATCCACATCTTTGTGATTCAGTGATTCATCTAGGCTCTTACCCTGTTATGCCCAGGACTGACACACAGTTTACAGGGAAGGTCCCTTGTCCTTAGAAACCCTTTAATTCCACCACACCAGGACAGTTGGTCATGAAAGCTACAGAGACAGCTTTCGGAAAGCATTAATGTGGGCTCAGTTTGCTGCTCACCAGAGCAGTGGTGATGAGAAATGTTCATTTATTTAGTAATTATTTAAATCCTAACTGCTGCCCCCCAAAGAACACACATATACCACTAAAACAAGGGAAAATAATAAGAGCCCAAGCAACAGCAAAAGTTAACAAATGAGGCCTGATTAAATTAAAAAGATTTTGTACAGCCAAGGAAATAAATAAGAGTGAACAGACAACCTACCGATGGGAGAAAATATTTGAATGCTATACATCCGATTAAGTGCTAATCACTAGCATCTACAAAGAACTCAGGGGAATTAAATAAAAAAATAAACCAACCCCAGAAAAAAGTGGCTAAAAGGCATAAAGAGAAACTTTTCAAAAGAAGGTAGACAAAGGGCCAATAAACATATGAAAAAAATGCGCAACATCTCTGATCACCAGGGAAAGGCAAAATCATGTTATACTATCTCCTAACTCCAACGACAATGGCTTTCATCAAAAAATCCCCAAACAACAAATGCGGGCATGGCTGTGGAGAGAAAGTATCTCCTACACTGTTGGTGGGACTGTAAACTAGTCTAACGTCTATGGAAACTTGTACAGAGATACCTCAAAAATTATAACTAGATTTATCATTTGATCCAGCAATCTCACTATTGGGTATTTACCCAAAGGAAAAAGGAAAAGGAACCCTTCCTTTTCCCAAAGGAAAAGAAGAAATTTTACAGAAAAGATATCTGCACACCAATGCGGTGGGAAGCACAAATTGTGGCATAATTCACAATCACAAAGATGTAGAATCCACCCCCTGCCATCAATACATGAGTGAATTAATAAAATGTGGTATATGTTTACCATGGAGTACTACTCAGCCATAGAAAATGATGAACTCGTACCTTTTGTTCCTAGATGAAACTAGAGACCATTCTTCTAAGTGAAGTGTCACAAGAATACAAAAACAAATACCACATGTACTCACTATTAAATTAGAATTAATCTATTAACACCCATCTGCACCTTTGGTAGTAGGAGGACAATGGCAAATTCACAGCTAAGGGGTATAATGCACACTATCTAGGTGAGGTGCACACTGAGAGTTTTGACTCAAACTGTCCAAAAGCAATTCATTTAACCAAAACATTTGTACCCCTTAATATTCTGAAATTTAAAAAAGAAAAAAAAAAAGAATAAGAGCTCCCACATGGAGATGGTAGCCAGGGAATCAGAAAACTAAGTGCCTCATTTGTGTACTCAATCCAGAACTGACTCGGTGGTAACAAGTGGGACACAATGGGAACACAGCTGTCATTATCTAAAAGAACAAGGCATGTCATATCCCCAGGAAAATCTTTTCTTTCCTAACACTAATTTCTTAAGAGAAATTCACAATTTTATAGATGTTTTTACAAAAACATTTACAATATATTGGATGACATCTTTAATTCATTTCTTTCCTCTAAAAATTCAGGGATATTGGCAGGGAGTTTGTTCTAGATTTAAAGTCAACTGAGATGCCTTTAGTTCCTCTTTCTAATATAGCAACTATGTTAGTTTACTAGGCTGCCATTAACAAATGGGTGGGGGGGACAAACAGAAATTTAGTGTCTCCCAGTTCTGGAGGCTACGAGTCTGAGATCAAGGTGTAAGAAGAGCTGGCTCTTTCAGAGGGCTTCTTGGCCTGTGAGGGAGACTCTGCCCCAGGCCTCTGATGGGGCACAGGCAATCTCCGGCTTGTAGAAGCGCTGCTCTAATCTCTGCCTTCATTTCACCTGGCGCACTTGCTATCTATCAGTCTGTGTTTAAATTTCCTCCCTCCCTCCCTCTTTCTTTTCTGTTTCCCCGTGTTTATTAAAATGTTACAGCACAGTGGATAGATTCAAATGGTTCCCTATGGTGCCTTGCAATTTATCCTAACTGTAGGCTGAGGGACCAGCAGGTTGGACAGACTGCCAAAATCCACAAGCTTCACTTCAGCATTTCATGTCCTTCGCTGCAGGATCTACTTCAGCCATCTCCCGATCCTGGGCTGGGACCTTGGGGATATAGTTGTCTCTCCTCTCTTTCTCTTCCTCTTGCAGCTTGATGGAGAAGCGTCTCCCCGGGTCCTGGGGATCAGTTTCATCAGGCCTGTGACGCAGCTTGCCGTCCAGGAGCGGAGCTTCTTCCCCCGAGTGCTGAGTGATGGCGACCTCTTCACACACGCTTGTTCCTGCGGAAGTCGTGATGACTACCAGCGCCTTCTTCACGGTTTTGAAGAAACATGACCCATGGTTTGCTTTCCGTATTGTTTATTATCCATAGTATTAACTATATGTATGTTTAAAAATTAAAATAAAGTTCACGGCCCCAAACAGCACTCTTTGTCCGTAGTTGTTTTCTTTTTCATTTTTTTTTTTTTATTAAGTGATAGCTGTGTACATTAATGCAATCATGGGGTACAGTGTGGTGTTTTCATATACAATTTGAAATATTTTCATCAAACTGGTTAACAC